TTATTAGTCTTTGTGTGCTTAACCACTGTTTTTTTTCATCTCCTATCCTTTACAGTTGATCACTGTCAGATGGCCCAGCAACAAGTTAACTCCAACTATCTGGGTATCTTGGCCATAGTTTGAGACCCGAAGAACTCTCTACATAGCCCAGAAAAGCTGTGAACTCACAAACTTCTGGCTTTAACCTCTGGGATGCTATAATTATAGTCATGGTTCGTTCTCTCTCTCTCTCTCTCTCTCTCTCTCTCTCTCTCTCTCTCTCTCTCTCTCTCTCCTTCTCCCTCCTTCCATCCTTCCCTCTTATCTCCTCCTTATCTTCTTGTCTTAAGCTTGTTAGACTAGTTACCTTTAGTTACAACCCCAAACTTAGTCCTTGGGAGGCAGAAGCAGCCGGATCTCTGTGAGTTCAAGGTCACCCTGGTCTACAGAGCTAGTTCCAGAACAGCTTGAGCTGTTACACAGCAAAGAAACCCTGTATAAAAACAAACAACAACAACCAAAAAAATCCCCCAAAAAACAAAAACAAAAAACCCCCAAAAAGCCTTTTCTAATCCATAGTATGTCAAAGATGTTACAAAGACTTCCTTCAAACTGTCCTCAGATCCACAACAACCATCTCACTACTGCCTGTCTACAATGACCTGTTCTCTTATCCTCTGATCATTTGGCGTTAGTTAGAATTCATATTAGAAATTCCATTAGCATGTTTTGTTCATGGATAACCTATTCCAGAGTGAATCCAAATGTATATGGAGGTGGTTAAGTTGTTTATCTGGAGCTGGAGCACTAGCCTTGGCAATGCAGACCCAAAACTACAGGTTGCAGCAAAAATGAAGAGTTATGATTTTACAGATGACTCCAAGTGAACTGGATATGACTTCAAGGAACAAAAGTAGGCTAGTAGATTCTTCCAGAATAAAATATACCGTCAAGAAAAGTTTCTCTCGCCAGGCATGGTGGTACACAGGTCTTTAATTCCAGCACTCAGTGAGTTCGAGGTCAGCCTAGTTTACAAAGAGAGCTCCAGGACAGTTAGTGCTGTTACACAAGGAAACTCTGTCTTAAAAAAAGCAAACAAACAAGCAAAGAATAATTTTTCTAACTGAGTGGTTTTACCTTATCACCCCTATACTAAAACACCTTCTGTTGGATCTCAATTAGCTTTAAAAGAAAAAGTATGGCTTTCAAAGACTTTTAACACTTTCTACTTCGATTACTTACTTTGCTTTAACCTCTCCACTCAATCCTTGGTATTGTCCCCTGTTCTCAGTCACCCTGGCTCATTCGCACTATGATTTTCCATTGCTTTCTTTCTCTTTGCCTGACAATATATATTATGCTTCCTCCGTGCTGATCTTTGTTAACTACCCATCAAGACCCACTTCAAGATATTTTCAAGAAGTCATCCCCACTTCACTCACAGCACCACTTGGTATTTGGTGACGGAATACACAGAGATACAGAAAAATTTACACAGCCATTGTTTTACAGTCCCCAAATCAGCACTGTGCTCTGGTTTTTCTCAAGTGGGAGTTGAGAGACACACGTTGTAGATAGCTGTTCAACCACCAATTATCTCTGTGACCTAAGACATGGTGTTTAATCTCATTCTTGTCTATAAAAGTCCAGGGGTAGGAATGTACAGTGGCAGTCCAGACTTTCTTTCTTACACATTTGTTATGAGACTCAAGAGAGATAATGTATTTAGATGTAGTTTAGAAGTCAAAACACATTGTATGAACGCAACTTTCTAAATCTACAACTCCATATCTCTTAAACCCTAAGAAACCAAACTGAGTAAAGGATAACAGGTTTGCATTCTGATCCCATCTAAATTATCAGACTCAGCTATGTGTTGTTCATCACCCCATCTCTTTACTTTACTTAGAATATTACTAGAAAAGATTCAATTTTGGCTTTGAATATTGCCAAGGTGGCAATGTGGGAAAGGTAGACAGCTGCTAAGACTCATTGAAAGGTAATGAATTCCCTTTAAAATTTCTGTAAAACAGGGGACTTACGAAATGTAAAACTATTGGTCCAGGGTCAAGGGGCCCCTCTAGCAGTGCATGATAGCTCACATTCAATAATGAAAACGAAATGAGAAAAAGATGACTTTCAATGTTGTGATGGATTTCTGGCCTCTTCTTAAATGATCCTTGGCTATCTGAAATACTAAATTCTGCTGAAAATCACTGCAGAAAAAAAATTACCCTGCCCAGTAACCTGTAATGCATGAGCTGATTAACAAACATGTCTTAAATCTTACTCTGGCCTCATCGCTGGAGTAGAGTCTGAAGAAGACACACTAGCATTCTAGCATCTATTCTATGCAAACTTGTACTGGTTTTGCTTTTTACTAAAAACAGGTTATGGAGGGAGAGGAAGTATACTAGTTGCAGACAAAAAACAGTCAGCCCTTGCTCTCCAACTGGAACAGACATCTTTGGAAGCACTGAGAAATCATTTTAGAAGACTCAAAGCTAACCATAATACATAATAATCATAATAACCAGAACACAATCCCGGCAGTGTATAAGCCCAGCAACCTACCCTAGTGGAGCAAACACTGTACACAACACCCAAATGAACTTGGAGCAAGAGATCACACCATCAATTTTAGGCACATCGGGACGGAGCATAGAGGGAACTACAAACAAGAGTTCTTTGAATACACATCCAGTGATAACTCCAAGTTGTCTCCTCCCGCTGTCATGCTTGATGACCAAATCATCTGTGTCAAAACCTGAGAGGCCATCTCCTTCTGTGACTGCCTACCCATCAGCCTTTCTGACTCCATGTTGAAGCTTTGTAAAAGAAACATTTAAATGTGGGACACACGTTCCTTTGAAGGGTGTGTTGGGGTTTGTTTCATTTTCACCAGGGTGTAAAACACTGAAAAGTGACCCCAAGCCTGGGTTAGAACTGGTTCGATGTGACACACGTGGCTTTCAGTTATGAACACACAAGGTTAACACAGCTTGTTGTTTTGTTTGTTAGTTTGTTTTGTTCTGTTTGTTTTTGAGTATGGGATCAGAGAGGGAAGAAAAACCCCAAAGAGCGGGAAGCAGGTAGGCACATAAGTTAATTGAAAAAGGTGAAGGGCTCAAGCACCTCTGGGTTTCTCCCATCCTAGAGGTTAGAGATGGTCCCTGTGCTGGACTTTGTCATTGTCAAGCAGTGTGACATGTATTCCGAATAATAGATTTAAGTAAAGATGCTGCAGCAAGTGTCAGAGAGATGCTGACTGCATCATAGATTCTGGTCTTTGGAGGGGGGTATACCAGATTGTCTTCAGTGGTATTCATTGCTAAGACATGGTGTCGAGAACAGAAAAATACTGCAGATTCTTGAAAATTATTGGTGATTATCAGCTAACAAAGAAATAGGTACCAGCCAATGTTGTCCTCTGAAAAAAGATGGCTGGAAGAGGGGCTGCAGATGGAGCACTGCCATCCAAACTGCAGCATTCTCTGTGTGCGAGATAAATTCACTTGTCATATTTCAAATTAGCTTTATAGGTATTCCTCCCCCACCCGGTTGTGGCTGATGGGAAGACTTCTCAAATTTTCATTCTATATGGCAGCATATTGGCGTCTAAAGTCGAGGTCTAAGATGATGGTTTGTAGGTACATGCACATGACTAACCAGGACAGCGCTTCTCAAGTCTCCTAATGTCGCTGGAGGGATGAGACCTGCAGCAGCAACCTGTCCTTTTTGCAACACATTTTTCCTAATGTCAGAGTGCTTCCGGAGGTTTTTTTTTTTTAAAGAGGTATGGGTGTGAAATATGTTTCTCAGTCTAGGACATGCTCATTTACACACACACACACAGGCCTCCGCGCGAGCGCGCGCGCGCACACACACACATAAGTTAGATTAGAAGTCCCGCAGATGCTTATGAAGTCCCGCAGATGCTTATGAAGTCCTGGTAAAAGCAGAAGACAGTCTCTCCTATAGCGAAGCCTAGCCAGACAGATGCCAGATAGCTGCGGAGAGCACCATAACCTCTGCTGCTGAGCTCGCAGCCTAGCCACCAACCACTGCCAGGGCACTCTCTCTCCTTGATGTCTGGCGCGCTGGGCTGCATCTGCAGGCTGCAGAAAGCCAGGGCTCCAGTTCTCCCTCATAACGCTGCTTTCCCAACGAGCCGCAAACCCGGTACGGTACAGCAATCTCCTCAACTATTCTGATTTAGACAAAATCCCAAGACTCCGGAGACACTTGAAGGAGGGTCTCCCCATCCTCAACCCCCGCGCCCCCCGTCTCCTCTTTTTCCAATCTTTGCATCTTAATTTCTTTTCCTGGGTTAAATTAAATAAAAGGGATTATTTGTCCATCCTGACTTGCAGATTGGGAGAAGTGGATAGGGAGGGCAAGAGGTTGGTCCCAGGCTAGATCCACCTGCTGCTCAAGTGAGAGGGCAACTACCTTATGGAAGCTGTTAAGACCAGCAGCGGCTCCGTACAGTGTAGAAGAATTGCAAAGACCCTCAACTTCTCTATCTGTCTCTCTCCCTCTCTGTCTCTCTGTCTGTGTCTGTCTCTCTGTCTCTCTGTCTCTGTCTCTCTGTCTGTCTCTGTCTCTGTCTCTCTCTCTGTCATGTCACTAAAGAGTTAACCCCGGCCGGGCTCCAAATCCTCCCCACCAGGCACTCCACTCCCCCTCCTCTTTTTTTGCCCCCTCCCTTCCCGCGCACGTCGCTAAGAGGTCATCAAGCGCTCTGCCCAGTCGCATTCTCAAGCCTTACTCTTTCCCGCCCATCAAACCCGTGGCTGCTTACGAAGAGGTGTGCGCTCACCAAGGGGCGTGTTCCAGCTCTGGGAGACGCTGCGCGCCCCTGGGTTAGATCAGAGCTGCGCTAGCCATGGAGCGAAGCGGGTGCAAAGTTTGGCACCCCACAAAGGGATGTCAGATAAGAGTGGGCGGACCGCCCGAGGGCTCTTCAGCCTTCCAATCTTAGGGTCGCTGGCTGCCTGGACCCCAGACGGTGTGCTGCAATGGACGGGGTAGATTCAGCGGCCCAGGGCACTGCCCAAGCTCAGGATGGAGAGGAGCCGGCCGAGTCCCCAGAGCCGCCACCGCCGCCTCCCGCTCCGCCGCCGGCTCCTCCGCCGCCGGCTCCGCCGCCGCCAGCTCCTCCACCAGAACCAGAACCAGAACCAGAACCTGCTCTGGGACCCTGTCCAGAGCCGACTCCAGAACCAGACACAGAAACAGATGCAAAGTCAACCCCAGAGCCGGCCCCAAAGCCGGACCCAGGACCAGACTCAGAGCCGGAATCAAAGCCGGACCCAGAACTTGTCCCAGAGCCGGCCCAGGAGCCGGCCCCAGAATTTGCCCCAGAGCCGGCCCAGGAGCCGGCCCCAGAATTTGCCCCAGAGCCGGCCTCAGAGCCGGTCCCAGAACCTGACCCGGGTCCAACATCAGCGTTGGTCCCCCAAACGACTAGAGAGCCTACCACAGATCTTGACATAGGGCTGGTCCTAGAGTCAGCCCCAGAACCTGCCAGGAAGAGGGCCCCAAAGTCGCGCCCTGAGCCAACTTCAGAGAGTCCAAGGATGAGTTTAGCACTACAACTGTTGCAATGTCAGATAGACCCTGGAGAGAGTGGTCAAAAGTCATCTCCATTGCCATCGCCCAGAACGCCACTAACTTGGTCCAAAGTAAAGGTAAGAAAAAGACCCCTTGGGGGAGGGGGTGGCAAGGTGAGGTCGGATGGCTATGGAGTTTGCGGGACTCCGGGCATCCCTTGGATCCTTTTGGCTGCCACTCACTGGCCAGAAAGATGGGAGAGCCTGGGGAAGCGAGAAGTGTCAAGGAAGCGGGAAGTGGTTGGGAGGCGGGAAGCAACATGTGGGAAAAAAGAGTAGGTTGCTTGGGGTTAGGAAAAGAGGAGAAAGCCAAAGTGGGAGTCAAAGCAGTTTTCCCCATGGGAGGAAGTGACAATGCAGTGGGCTTCTATATCTTTAAAAAGCCGTGAGAGGCGCCCTCAGGGAATGCAAGATACCTGAAGTATTTGGGGCTGACTCAAGGTACTTAAGTGGATGAGCCTGAGGGGGGGAGGGTGATGGGACACACCTCTGCCACACTCACTGCCGCAGAGGCCCAAGCTGCAGAGCCTCTGCCCGCTAGCCCCCCTCCCTGCCACTGAGGAAGAGGAGGTATATCAACTAAGATGCTGCTGAAGACACTCTAGGGAGGTCCCTGGTGCCTCTGTCCACTGCTGGGCACTGGTACTCCAGGCAGAGGCAAGGGGAAGGGCGGCGCCCACGCGCACTGCAGGGGAAGGGCAAGGTTCGCTGGGGGGTGGGGGGAGCTGCGTGTGTTGAAGCCACCGTTCTGTCTGTCTGCAGGATTTCCCAGCAGGTAGGTACAAACACAGTGATACAGTGACGCGAGGCGTCACAAGCGGGCAACTGTCATCCTGAGCCAGGACCAGTTGGAATAGTACTGCAGTCCTTGTTTAGAGACGTGAAAACATGAGTTGGGGTTTGTGAGCAGAGTGTGTGAACCGCAACTTTCATCTCTGTGCGCTCTACAGCAATTCCTTATGAAACACCGCACTTAACTAAGGGGCATGGGCGCGGGGGGGGGGGAGATGAATGAAGGGTCCTCTGGCACTAATCCAAGTCAGAAGAGGGAGGAAGGTTTTCAATGTCTATCTCCCGTCTACCTGATTTCCTCCCTGCTCCGGCTCCCACCACGGAAAACCGTGAAAATCACAATAATGCGCGTGCTTCACCTTAGCACAAGCAAATAATACAACATGCCAACAACGGCAGCCTCTCCTGCCCCTTGGCAGGGCTAGGGACATGTCTTGGAAATCCTGCTGCCGTGGACTGCACACTTGTAGAATGCAGAATGCAGGGGTTTGGGGGTAGAACTGGCATCATGAAATAGCTTGCCAAATATCTGCAGTGATAAAGTCTGCAGTGAAAGTTTCAAAGAAGACAAAGGGGTGGCCATTTGTTTCAATAAATAAAACGAAATGCTAGTGACTTGAACAATTCAAAATCAGGGATGGAGATTTCCCCTTCCTGCAGATACCCACCTCGGGGAGATCTCAAGAAAGGGAGGGTGGGGAGCTAAACCCCTTGATCATCATACGCCTGAGGCTAGCCTCTGTCTCTTTTGCAAGGGTTTGCAGTAAGCTGTTGAGTGGGAGATGAACAAGAATCATCTGACCTGTGCCCATCTTAAGTGAAATTTGAGGAACCAGGCTGAATACCTACTGGCCTGGCCCCTTAATTACCTGGGTGGTCCGCAAAGGCATCTTTCCTTTGGCCTCAGGAAGACAGATGGGGGAGGGGGCAGGACCCCTTTTCCAATCCCCAATAAAAATCATTCTCTGAAAGCATATTCTACCAATTTGACTGGAAAATGCCTGCTGCCAGATATGGAGGGTCAAGGCAAAGGGGCTCAGGGCAGTCTCCTTTATATTGTAACAGTTCACATACTGGCTGGGTGGCTCACTGGCCTGTAACCGCGTTCATAGGAGACAAAGACCCCAGGGGGCTGCCTTTGCCCTAGGAAGAGTCAAGCATTTGTTAACCTACATATTTGTACAACCGATCAGGAACCCTGACTGTCCATCAAGAAGAACCTGTAGATAAACTACTAAAGGCTCCTGGAGATCTCAAGGATGCAAAAGATCTAGGTAAATGCTCAAAAGGAGTTCAGTTCTCCAATATCTTCCAGGTAGAACTGTAATTGCCCTCTGGTGCAGTTGGCAACACCCGATATTCAGTCACAGGGTCATTTTCTTCTGCATTATTTCAAGCAAGTAGCAGCTGCGAACAGCTGCCTTGTATCTTAACGTTCCGTACGAATAGATTGCCTTATTACCTGGGGTAAGTATTCTCAAATACTGCCTCCTAGAGGAAAGCTTGGGAAAGTACACACGTCCATCCCTCCACCCCCCCCCCCCCCCCGCCACAATAGCACACACCCACCCCCCACACCCAACCCGCACCACACAGCACACACACACATCCATCCACCCACCCTCCCATTCACCCACACACACATGCNCTGACAACACACACACACTTAACTCCCCCAACAGCACACATACCCATCTACCCCACACACCTAACCCCCTAGAATACACACATACATCTACCCAGCTAACTTCTCACACCCAACCCTACCACAACACACACACACTCAACTAGCCACACAGCACACACACCCACTGATCCCCCGTACTCAACCCCCCACAACATACACACCCATCCACCCACACATCTCCACAATCCAACCCTCCCCACAACACACACACAAATCCACCCACCCACACACACCCAACTCACAAACACACAACACACACTCATCCCACATACACCCATCCTCCCACCCACCTCCACATACCCATGCAACAAACCACCCCCCACCCAACCCAACACATACACACCCACATAACCAACTCCCCCAACACACACCCATCCACCCACACACCCATAAACACCCAACCCCCCACGACACACACACTCACCCCACACAACCCAACCTACCCACAACACACACACCCATCTATCTCCCCACCCAATCCCCCAACAATACACACAACTATCCACCCACCCCCACCCAACCAACCCCCTCCCACACAACACACATACCCAACCACCCACCTACACACACACCCAACCCCCCTACAATACACACAACCATTCACCCACACACACACCCAACCCCAAAACACCCACACACTCCCAACACACAACACACACCACTTACCCCCCCACACCCAACCTACCCACAACACACAACCCATCCACCCTCCCACACCCAACCCCCCACATAACACACATACCCATCCACCCATCTACACACACACCCAAACCCCCCTACAACACACAAAGCAACACACACCCATCCACTGCCACACCCACACAACACACACCAACTTACCCCCTCACACCCAACCAACCCACAACACACACACCATCCACCGCCCCACATAACACACAGCCATCCATCAACCCACCCACACAACCCAAACCCCCCACAACACACACTATCCACCCACCCCCACACACCCAAACCCCTCCCACTCAACAAGACACCAAACCCACCCCCAAAACACACACCCATCCACACACCCAACCCACACACAGAAAACACACACACGCTTACCCCACACACAACCCCTCCACAACACCCTGCCACACCCAAAACCCCCACAACACAAACCTATCAACCCACCCACACCCAACCCACACACAGACAACACACACCCACTTACCCCACATAAAACACACCACAACACCCCCTACACCCAAAACCCCCACAGCACAACCCAACCCCCTCCCACACTACACACATCCACCCACCTACACACACAGACACCAAACTAACCACCACCACACACACCCATTCACACACTCACACAACCCAACCCCTACACACACAACACACACCCACTTACCCCACACAAACCCAACCCACCCACAACACACACACCTATCCACCCACCCACCCCCCGACACACAACCCACTCCGACAACAAACACACTCATCTGCCAACACACACACCAACCCCAACACTACACACACACCCCTCACAAACACACCCAACCCCCTACAACACACAAACCTACCACCTACCCACCCCCACACACCCAACATTCTTCCACACAACACACACACCCATTCCCCCACACCCAACTCCTCACAACACAAACACTCAACCCCCCCACAGCACGAACAACCATCTACCCCCCAAACGAACCTCCCCACAATACAGACACACACCCATCCACCCACCCATCTACCCCCATACACACAACACACAACACCCACAACACACACATACACCCACACACCCACACACACTGAACCCTACCACAACACATACACACTCAACTCCCCCCACAGCACACACACCCATCTACCGCTACACCCACCCAACCCACCCACAAAACACACACCCATGTACCCACCCACCTCCAAACACCCGGCCCCCGACAACACACATACCCATCCACCCACCCATCTACCCCCATACACACAACACACAAACACACGCAACCACCTCTCACAACACACTCTTATCCACCCACCTACACTCACAAACCCAACTCCCTCAACACACCACACACAAACATGCATCCACCCACACACATACACCCAAACCACACACACAACACACAAAACCATCCACCCACCCACACAACCCAAACCCCCCCACAACACACACCCACACACACCCAGCCCACTCACAACACATACACGCATCCACCCACCCACCTCCACATGCCCAAATTCCTGCCACAATACACACACCCATCTACCCTTCCTCACACACCCAACCCCCCACAACACACACACCCATCTGCCCCCCCACACCTCACACACACCCTCACCCCCTACAACACACCCATTCATCCTCACACACTGAACTCTACCACAACACACACTCAACTCCCCCCACAGCACATACACCCAATAGCCCCACAACACACACCCATCCACCCACCCATCTACCCCCATACATACAACACACAGACACCCCCAACACCCCCAACACACACCCATCCACACCCAACCCTCCCACAACACACACACTCTCAACTCCCCCCACAGCACACACACACATCTACACCCCACACACAATACCCCCTCAACACACACACATCCACCCACTCATCTACCCCCATACACACAATAC